CTCTGCACTGCACTGGCTGGTTCTTATTCATTGTATCACTAAAACAAAGTCTGGTAACAAATCTCCGTTGTTAAAATGTGTTATCTTTATTGGCCCTACAAGTTGAAATTAATCTGCGATTGTTCTTATCTCGTCATATTTCAAATAAATCTTTTTTTTTTGACAAAGAATATGATAAACATTCTGTCCTTTAGTAGAGTGTGTGATTTGTAACAACAATCTGCTCCACAGTTTGTTCTTTTATTGAGTCTAAAACACCTGAGGGGCTTTGCCAAACAAAAGCCATGAAGAAGAAGATATCTGCACCCTATCTTGGTTGTGTCTTGAACTTGGGTGAGTGTGTGTGTGTGTGTGTGTGTGTGTGTGTGTGTGTGTGTGTGTGTGTGTGTGTGTGTGTGTGTGTGTGTGTGTGTGTTTAAACACAGGAGGAATTCATTCTATTTGTTTAGATAAAATTAAAATCACAAATTAAGGACTGTATAAAAGATCATTTTTTCTGATGATATAACTACAGCTGATGTCAGCACTGATTCTTTATTTAAAACCTTTTCAAAATATTAAATATTCACAATATTTTCTTTGTAGAAACACATTTAGATCTCATCTGTTCCTTTAGAAACTTTGTTCTCTTTGAAATCTCAAATGCTGCTCTTTGCTCTCGTTCTTCTGTTTTAGCTTTTGGCTACTTTAAGCTTCAAGAATTTTGGTACTTTTAGCTCTTAGCCAGCTTTCTTTAATTGGGGTTCATCCTTTACTACTTTTAGTTATCATTCTGCCACTTTTAGATTTTAGCTATCCTTTTGTTGTGATTTAGGCTTGTAGCTTTTTGCTACTTTTAGCTTTTAAAAAGGATTGTACTACTTATTAGTTAGCCATGTGTGATTTTAGCTTTTAGCTAGCCATTTGCTACTTTTAGCTAGCCTTTAGTTAATTTTAGGTTTTAATTTCTATTTTTATCTTTCAGTTTTTTAGCTAGCTTTTGGATATTTGTAGCTTTTAGCTAATATTTGTAGATTTACGTAGCGGTTAGGCTCTGGTGGCACAGTGGTGCAGTGGTTAGAGCTGCCACTTCATGTTCTCTCTGTGCACCTGTGAGTTTTCTCCAAGTAATCTGGTTTACTCCCACAGAAATCTTCGGGTTCAGGAGGAACTGGAATCTAAAAACTAAAGTTTGTCAAAACTGATTGATGATTTTCCTCCAGAGAGAAAAGAAAAAGTCTCAGAGTGAATTCTGCAGTTTTCTCCTCTGAATCATTTTCATGTTCAGACATTAGATCCTGAAACCTGGGATCAAATATTGTGTTTCTTGTGTTGTTTTTGCTGCTTGAAACGTTCCTTCGGCTCTGAGACAGCTGAGCGTCATCTAGCCTTGGTGCTGTGGCTTGATTTAGAAAACTGCCCTGGAACATTTACTAAGACAGTGTTTGAATGCCTCCCACTCAGATCCTCTCGCTCCTGTGCTGCTCTGCTGCCAGAACTCTCACCAGGATCCTTGGTTCTGTTCCCTCAGAGAGCCCACTTCTCCACAGAACCGTTAAATTCATGGTTTCATTTCAGCCAACCAGAGATCAGCTTTAAATAAACCACTGGTTCTAATTACAGCTTTATTTATTTATTTATTTATTTATTTATTTATTTATTTATTTAT